GTGCTGTTTTTCTCTCCCATGAGTAGTGAGCGAGCATCTGGTTGTTTGCTGGGGTAGGCAAACGAATGAAAACAGGTGGAAAACTTACTTAGAATCACAAAATGACAGAGCTCGGAGGAGCCTCTGCTGACCCTTCCTGGTACAGGAAGAGAAACTGAGACTTGGGTCCCACAGTGCATGAGGGGCTGAGCCAGGAGCTAATATAAATCTCCCAGTTTCAAAGCTCTAACTACTCCCTGGTGAGAACAGATCAGCACCTGGTCGAATTTCCCTGGAGGAGGCCTGATGCTAGGCCCTTTCTCACTTCAGGGCCTTTTCACTTGCTGTTCACGTGGCCCAGGAAGCTCTTCCTCCTGCTTTTTGAGTGTCTGGTTCCTCTTCTTCTAGAGGCATCAGTTCAGACACCTCTTTGGAAAGGCCGTTTCTGACCACGATTGCTAACACAGCTGCCTAAGCATCTGCCCTCACCCCTTCCAAACTACTTCCTGTCTCCTTATCCTTTTTATCTCCTTGATAGCATTTCGCAATGCTGGGTTATCTTCCCAATTTGCCAGTTGATTTGTTTCTCGTGTATTGCCGCTACTGGAAGGTCCCTGAGTCAGGAAACTGGTCTCTCCTGTTTCCACACAGGAGCCGGTGCAGAGCAAAAATAATGTCATCTTAACCCCACCCTGTGCCTTGGTTTCCCCATCTGTAACATGGGCAGTTTGGATGAGAGTCGTTCAGCCAGGGGATGGGCATTTACTGAGCACTACTGTGTTTCAGGTGCTGGTGCTGACAGAGACACAGGTAAATAGGCCCTTACAGCCCAGGGTGCTCTGCGCTCTGAGTGGAGAGCCTGGGGTTGCAGGAGCATCAAGGAAGCGACTGATCTCCCTCCCCAGAGGCTGGGGTTCAGGAAGGGCTTCCTGGAGGCAGTGATGACTGAGCCACAAGATGCACAGGGGTTGGTTAGACGGTGGGGGGTGGAGAGTGGAAGATGGTGCTTCTGTCAGAGGGAACGGTCTGAGCGAACGTGTGGCAGTGTCTGTCTTGTTTATCACTCTCTCCGTGCCTGGCATGGTGCCTGGCACATATCAGTGCTCGACTGGGGAAGAGCTGGGAAATAAGTGAGCATCTCGAGTTTACACATGGGGAAACTGAAGCCCCGAGAGGTTTCACAGCACACCTAGAGCTCTGGCCTGCCTGGATGAGGCCCGTTCTGCCTCCTTGGAGCACCCAACAGGAGGCCGCTCCATGTGTGTCCCTCTGAATGCCAGGCTTGTGGGGCCGCAGCCCTGGCCTCTCTAGCCACATGAAAGGTTTGGGCTATTTTTTCCCAGAACGCAGGCCCCAGTGATCCCAGAAGCTGTGTAATTAGAATGGGTTCTGAGCACATGAGAGGCTGGAGCTGGGGGCTGTGGTGGGCCAGGCAGCCTGTCCCAGGCTCAACTGGGGAGGACCCTGGTAGAGACTCGAAGCAAGTGGGTTTTGCCCTCATCCTCCCCGCTTTTTTGGCCATGGCTACTCAGCAGGGTGGGGGTCGTGGCTGCTAATTGCATGGTGGGTGCAGGGTGGGGCCTCTGCATGGCTTCAAGGTTGGGCAGAGAGCCCATTGCTCATTGCCTCTGAAATTACAGGCTACAAACAAGTGTCCCAGCCCGCTCCATGTCACAGGCCTGCCCATACCCCCTTGGAGCCATGGCAGTACAAGCCATGGGGCTCATCCGGGCCAGGCGACACAAAAGGTCCTGGAACTGGAGAATGTGGAATGTGAGACCCTCGGGATGGATGAGTTATGGATGGAGCAAACTCTCAGAGCATTCATTAGGTTGTCAAAACCTGGGAATGCAACAGTGGAAGTCGGTCATTCACACATCAACAGTATTTATTGAGTAGCTACTTTGTTCTAGGCACTGCTCTAGATCCTGGAGTTATGCCAGTGCACAAAACAGGCAAAGCTCCTGGTCCCCATGGACCTGGCTCATCTTCTCTTACTCGATAATAATCATCTTCAGGAACTGCTCTGAAGGTGCTGGGTTCCCACCTACCTCAGGGCTTTTGCACGTGCTGTGCTCACCGCTAGGAATTCTCTTTTCCCCCTGAATACCTCCTTCTTATCCTCATGAGCAGCTCTACTATCCCCTCCTCATGGAGGCCCCCATGAGCTTCAGGACCAGACTGGACCTCCAGACTAGCCCCCCACAGTTCCTGAACTCTCCCATCCCACTTCTTAGCTCAGTTTGCAGTTTGATATTTACTTGTTTGTTTACTTATTGCAGGTCTCCCCTCTACTCCATAAGCGCTGTGCCTATGTTTGTTCATCACTAACTCCCAGGGCCTGACTGGGCTGGATATAAAGTGAATGCTCAAAAAAATAATTGTAGAATGAATGAAATGTAGAAGTTTAGAGTGTTGGAAACTTGGTGCTGGAAGGCTTGTGGCAGACATCTAGTCCAACCCGACATTTAGCCGTGGCCCAGAGAGGGGCAGTGATTTGCCCCGCCACCCACAATTGATGTGCAAGCTGGGGCTGGAACTCAGGGATCCTTTTTCCTCCCATTGGTGACTGACGTCGTTGCTGTACAGTCCTCAGATAGTGAGTTGGGATGTTTGGGTGAAGGAGAGCACATGTGTCTTTGTGTGCGTGTGTCCGTCGACATGGTCTGATAGCCCTTTAATGGAGCAGACGGGAGTAGTACAGGGATCCCACTGTGGGGGATGGAGGGTCACAGACTTGGCAGTTTCATTTTCAGATAAAACACAGGGCTGGTGAAGAAGAAAGGGCTCTAATTCCCTACAGGTCATGCTGCTGTGAACCTCAGTTTCTACATCTGTCAAATGGTCTTTGTTTATTCATTCATATCTCCTCGAGCACTTACCACCCGCACAGTGGCAGGCTCTGTGGGGAGAGGGACCCAAGTGCTTTGGAGGGTGGATGATTCTAGCTCCCCAGGAAACAAGTAATAATATTCAACCACAGTGTGGGAGACAGAATAATGCCCCTCCCCTGGAGAAGTCCACATCCCTGTCTCTGAAACCTGAGAACATGAATAGGTCTGTCACCTGACATGGCAAAAGCCATTTGCAGATGTGAGTAAATTAAGGCTTTTAGATGGGGAAATTATCCTGGATTATCTGGTTGGGCCCAGTGTCATCACAAGGGTTCCTAAAAGTGGGAAAGGGATTGGAAGAGAGAACCAGAGAGCCGGCGGCATGACAAGGACTCAGCCCACTGCAGCCAGCTGTGGAGATGAGGAAGAGCCCTATCAGCAGAGGAATGCAGGTGGCTTCTAGAAGCTTGAAAAGGCAAAGAAACAGATTCCTCCCCCCTGAAGATACCAGGAGGAAGGCAGCCCTACCGACACCTTGATTTTAACCCAGTGAGACCCATTGCTGACTTCTGGCTGCCAGGACTAAATGTGTATTGTTTGAAGCCATTATGTGTGTGGTAATTTGTTACAGCAGCATTTGGAAACTCATACACTTGGACTCTGGCCAGTGCTTTCATGTTGCCCAGCACACTCACGCCGTTCATTGCCTCTGATTTTTCCCAGCAGCCTTGTGAACCTTGTCTTCTTAAAGATGACCAAACAGAGGGTCTGTGTGGGGCAGGAAATGGTGGAGGCAGGATTTAAACCCCGGTCTGTCTGCCTCTGGGTCTGGGGCTCCTTGTAGGGGCTTCTCTGCCCCCAAAGGAGGGTCGCAGAATGGGACCTTGCCTTAGGTTGGATGAACGACATCAGCTCCTGCTGACTTCCCCAGCCTTCATTACCTGCTCCTCCCTTTTGTTCACTTCTTGCTCCAGCCGAATTTACGTACTGTGCCTAGTCCATGTGTGGCATTCCCAGCCCCTCTGCTTTATCCGTGCTGGTCCTTCCACCTGGGATGCCTCCCCAGGGGCTCCTCTTGTTCAGACCCTGCTAGTTCACGGCCACATCTTCTAGGGCCACTTCTCTGCCTCTTTCTCTAGTGGATCTCTCTTTGCCTTGGGTACCCCTCCCTCCTCCCCCAAGCCCTTGGTCTGGCCTCTCTCCTGCCACAGACCCATTTCTGTTTTGTAAAAAAGTAATGTCCTTCTCCCTGGAAGTCTGCAAGCTCTGTGAGTGTTGGGTTGTGTCTGGTTTAACTCTGAAACCTGCTTGGCACAGTGCCTGGTGCACTATAGAGTTTGTTAAGACATTTATAAAACTAACTTGGTGAATGAGTGAATGAATGAATGAGTGCATGAATGAATGAATGCAAGGGGCCACTGACTCTCTGGATTCCTTGGGTGAGCCAGAGGGCCTGTTCCAGGGCCACACCCGACTTACCTCGGTTCCCTGGTCGAGCCACTTGCACTTACCCCACCTCGCTTTCCCCATCTGCGAAATAGGACCACGGCTCCTGCTGTAGTCCCTCCATTTGGGGTACTGTGAGGCCACTGATCTCAGAAATTCAGAGCCAGGGGTAGCCCAGGAGGCTCTCTGTCCGGCCCTGCGAATGGGGAAACTGAGGCCTGGAGGAGGGGAGGGCCTGACAGGGCTAGACAGTGAGTGCCAAAACTCGCTCCCCGCGCCAGCCCCGGGCCTCCGTCAGGCCTCCGCTCACGCTCTCCCCGCCCCCCCACACCCCAGCTCCCACTCTGTACCCCCAGCCTCTATGGAAAACCTGAGTCACAGCTGGAACCAAGGACGGGGAATTTTCCTTCTCACTTCCAGGGGGCCTCTGAACCTCCCTGACCTGTCTTCTTTGGAAGGAGGGAAGGACCCCAGCTCTCTGTTTTGCGGCGGGACACTCTGGGTCAGCCCCGTCTGCCCCAGCCAGCCCTGGGGACTTGCAGTTAGGGAGGAAGTACCCCATCTGGGCTTCCCTGGAGTGTGGAGGGGGCGCCTGCGGGAGGGTGAGCGAGAGGGGATGTGTGTGGCCCAGTGCAGCCCCGCCCATCCCCTGTCCCCACCCCAAACCCCTTAATGAAATCAAGCTGGCCCCGCAGCCAGCGAGGGAGGGAGGGGGCGGGAGGAGGGTGGGGCGGCCAGCCCAGAGCGCGCCGGGCACCACACCGACTCTCTCTCGCTCCACCTGGCGGGAGCACCAGGCCTGTGTACGTGCAGAGGGACTGGTGAGTCCTGGGGTCCTCTCGTCTGTCCGGGAAGCCTGGGATGTTTTGGAGTTTAGGGACTGGGAACCAGCAGGAGCCCTTTGGGGGATATCTCTAAGTGTGTGTGAGTTATGAGGGTGTGCTGGATGCTGTGTACGGGTGTGATCTGTGCTAAGGGTGAGGGGGTCCGAATGTGTGTGTGCCTCCTATGTGCCCCGTGAGCTGCTTGCTGGCCGGAGTGCTGTGTGTGTGCCATTGTGGCCTGGCGATAGGGGGATGTGTTGTTCTTGAAAGTGGACACCAGGGTAGTTGCTCCCAGGGTTAGCGGGAGGGTGGTGTGGACTGGGACTGCCCTGTCTTGGGGGAGGTTCATGGTGTGACAAGGGGCCGTGTATGTACACGTGTTGTCTGAGAATCAGCCCGTTTTGTGTCCATGTGTGTTCTCTGTGTATGTGCGGGTGGGCTGCGTGAGCTCTCTGGGGTGTCTGGGTGTTGTGTGTCCGTAAATGTATTGTGGATCCGCGCTGCCGCCGCCGCCACTGCTGCTTCTGCTGCTGTGTGTGTGTGTGTGTGTGTATGTGTGTGTAGGTTTTGAACCCTTGAGCCCCGTGTCCGTCCCCAGGCCTCCCCTCCGAGGGGCCCCAGTCTCTGTCCTCGGCTGCCCCAGAATAGGGGGTGCAGTGCTTCAGCCAGACCCTCCTCCCCCAAACGCCACTAATTGAAGCCAGGTTTTTGTGGGTCGCCCTTCCCCCTTTGCTTACCAGTCTCTGGGTGGGGGTGGAGCAGCTGCTCTGGCCCCTCGGACTTTGGTCTTGGGGTACCTCGGCCTTAGGGTTGGATTCTCATCGCCTGCATATTCCTGACCTCGACTGGGGCCATCACATTTTAAAACAATAAACTGAGCGAGATGGGCTCTAAAGAGAGGCCCTACTCCAAGCTGGGTGGCCTGGTTGATCATGTGGCACCTACTAATTGACACCTACTAATTGACACCTACTACGTGCCAGGTACTGCTATTCCTTGTCCTGACAATAGTCCAGGGAGGTGGCCCTTAGTTCCATTGTACAGATGTGGAAACTGAGGCCCAGAGAAGTGACATGCCTGGCTCCAGGACACAGAGCTGGAAAGTGACATCTGGTGGGCTATTCTAAGTGGCCCTTCAGTTCGGGCCTCCACCATGACTAGCTGTGGGCCCTAAGCAAGCCATTCTTGGTCTTGACCGAGTTTCCTCTGGGTAAAACGAGATGCATTGTCCTGAACCCAGCTCCTAATGGCCTGTGAGTTTCTGAGTCTTGGAAAAATTTAGGACCCAGGTAGGAGGAGGTGGGTCAGCTGATGGACAGATGACCATTTCCGAGCTGTCCAGGCTCGATGGGAAAGTGAAGCCCACTAGTGAAGCCCAGAGAGGCAATGGGGCTCATTGTGCAGAGTCACACAGCCATTTCCTGCAAGGCCTGGCTGGCTTCTCACACTTTGCTCCTCATACTCTGGGGTTGAGCTGGGGTCTCGGCCTTTAAGAGCCAGAGATAGTTTGTGGGGCCTCTTTCTTCATCCTCTGCTCCTTGACCCTAAGGCTTCAGGGAGAGGGAGCCCTTTCCTCAATCTAGCTCTCAGCTGTGCACATGCGTATGAGAGTGCGTGTGTGCACGCGTGTGTGTGTAGTTCTGGGTTCCTCAGTAGTCAGTGCCGAGGAGATTTCACCCAACAAGGTAAAAAAGTTAATCTGTTCATGGAGGGTGGGGGGACAATGAGCAAATGTACATGTCAGGTGAGGACGGTCATTTGTGGCCTTTGTGTGAAATGCTGGCTGACCCTAGGGCTCTGCCGGGGGAGGAATCTGGCCATTCCTGAATGCCATCTTTCCTTGGTGAACGGCTACTCTGTGCCAGGCAAGACTTGTGGTCACCTCTTCACCTTGTGCCCCCAATTTACGGATGGAAAAGGTGAGGCCCAGAGGGGCCAGATGGTGGAGCTAGACTGAGATGGAGTCAGGATTCGAATCCAGCCTGACCAGCCTCACCACTCCACTGCCTGCAGAATTCAGTGACGGAACATCATAGTCAGCCCCTGGGGAAAGTCCCCTGGTCTTCGGCCACCACTGGCCTGTAGTTTTGATCTGTGGTGAGAAGCTTCAGCTGCCACCATGAGAGGTCTCTCCTGGGACTTGACTGGAAGAGGAAGGCAGGGTGGGGACTGATGAGACAAAGACTCTAGGATAAAAGCTGTCTGTAGGAACCTTTGCCAGCTAGTGCCAGAAAGTCAAGGGGCCGGGAAGGCAAGTTCATGTAGTATCTTCAGATCTTTGTTTTAGTTGAGATGTCAACCAGGGGGCATGAGGCCAGCTCCAGGCACGAGAGAGAGAGAGAGAGAGAGAGAGAGAGAGAGAGAGCGCTTTTGGAGTCACACAGAAGAAGGTTCAAATTCTAGCTCTCACACTTATCATCTGTGTGTCCATGGGCAAATCACTGTCCATCTCTGAACCTCAGTTTCCTCATCTGAAAAATGGAGACAATGATAGCACTGGCTTCTGTAGGATTCTGTAGGATTGCATCCACCAAAGGGCTCAGATTAGTGACTCGTGATAAAAGTACAGAATGACCGGTTCATTTAAAATGAACCCCTGAGTAGTGTTGCTTTTTTTTATGTCCTGGAATTACCTCCCCCCGCCACCTGAGCCGGTTTATCCAAATTCATATCAGTACAATTAATTTCGGTCAATGACAATTGGAAGGCCCTAGGTCACTTAGAACAAGCCATTCAATGGCTGAGCATCATTCCTACCTCATCTCCTGAATCCCCAAATCACCACGAGATTGGTACTGTTGCTTGTTTTATGGATCAGGGCTTGAAGCCTGGGCATTCAAGGGGACCTGCAGTCAAAGTGTTGGGAGCCTAACTTCCTCCTCCAGCTCAGAAACTTGCTGTGTGGCTTTGCTTTTGCCCGTCCATTGCCTTCTCTGGGACTCCGCCTCCCCATTTCAGTCTCCTGAGAGAGGTCCTCAGACAGGGCACCCTAAGGCTTTTCCATCTTGGAGCTTCTAGCCTCACCCAGTGTCAGGAGCCTGGGCCCTCCACTGGGTCAGGTGGGATTTTCAGGGGTTGTCCTGGGGGGCACAGAAAGGGGTCCCTGGGTTTATCCGAGTGCCCAGCCTCACTCAGGCTGGCTGGGAGAGTTAGTGTTTTAGAAGCTGGGCTTCTAAATCCATGGACAGTGATTTGCCCATGGACACACAGATGGTAAGTGTCAGAGCTAGGATTTGAACCTTCTTCTGTGTGACTCCAAGAGCTCGCTCTCTCGCTCTCTCTCTCTCTCTCTCTCTGTCTCTCTCACTCTCTCGTGCCTGGAGCTGGCCTCATGCCTTTGTAAACCTGGCCCATGGGGAATTTATTATTTAGCCAGGAAGTCTGGGACACAGAGGGTCTGGGGGTTCATGTTGGTAGCAGCCTTCCAACAGGAGAGGGAGGTGCAGAGTCATTTGGTTCCGGTTTAGTGGTGGCCGTAGGACTCAGGTTCTGGCAGGCTCCAGCTTCGTCTCAGGTGTGAGGGGTTTCTCCTGTGGCCTCCAGGTCCTTCTTTGAGCCTTTAGGTGAAGGTTAGCCATGGGGCAGATGCTCCCAGCATGGTCCTGGCATGCAGGCCTTCTGCTGAGCTCAGAGAGTCTATAGGCTTCCAAACCCAAGAACCTTCTGGAGAGGGGAATGGAATCATAGAGAGGCTGGGGGCTGCTGGGGAGGGCTCCCCATAGGTGTAGGGGTCAGCTTATAGTTACTGAGGTTTTCACTTATTTCAGCCCTACCACCTTTTCTCCCTTGGTGCCAAGATTCAGACTCCAGCTCTTCCTTGGCAAGTCACTGAACCCCACTGAGCCTCAGTTTCCACACCTGGAAAATAGGGCTAATAATAGTGACTCCCCCATTGAGTAGTTCTCAAGAGTCCATGTAAGAAACTTAAAATAGTGTCTGGCATGTGGAAAGCATTAAAAGAGTAAGTTATTAAATTCAGTCAAGTCAGACAGGATACATTTATGGCACACTTACTGTATACCAGACCTGAGGATACTGAGATAAATAAGATTAAGCCCTTGCCTTCCAGGACCTCGGAGAGAAGTTGGGGGGGTGGGGGCTGTCCAGGTGTGAACTCCATCTTAGAAGGAACAGGGGTCCATTGTACGGTGGGGAGGTTCAGGCCTGGGGGAGAGAAGCGACTTGCTAGAACACATTCCATGTTCCCTGCACCTCCTTTGGGGGTCCCCTGAGACCCTCGAGTGGCACCCTGACCTCCCTCCTGCCTCGCTTTCCCACAGGCAGCATGATTTCTGCAGCGGCTCCCAGCCTCATCGTGTCTCTGCTGCTGCTCTCGAGGGCCCTGCCCATGGTCGCCCACTCTGTGCCCCTGCAGGCCGCCCCTCTGGAGGACATGGGGGGCAGTGGGGAAGCCGAGGACTCATCGGCCTCCTCCCCGAGCCTCCCGCCACCTGGGACCCCTGCCCTCAGCCCCACGTCGGTGGGGCCCCAGCCCACGCTCCTGGCGGGCCCCAAGCCCCCCACCAACTTCCTGGACGGCATCGTGGACTTCTTCCGCCAGTACGTGATGCTCATCGCTGTGGTGGGCTCCCTGGTGTTTCTGCTCATGTTCATCGTGTGCGCCGCCCTCATCACCCGCCAGAAGCACAAGGCCTCGGCCTACTATCCGTCATCCTTCCCCAAGAAGAAGTACGTGGACCAGAATGACCGGGCTGGGGGTCCCCAGGCCTTCAGCGAGGTCCCCGACAAGGATCCCGATGGCCGGCCCGAGGAGGCCCTGGACTCCTCCCAGCAGCTGCAGGCTGACATCCTCGCCGCCACGCAGAATCTCAAGTCTCCCGCCAGGGTGGCCTCGAGCAGTGGCAACGGAGCCAGGGTGACGGAGGGCAAGTCGGAAGAAGAGGAGAAGGGAAGCCAGGAGGCGGACCGGGAGGCAGAGGGCCGTGGGGTCTCGGTGGAGAGAGCGGAGGTTGCGGAGGACCCGTGCTTGGCGGTGGTGGAGGGGGCTGTGGGGGCTGGCGAAGGCCCAGGGGAGCCAGAAGCAGCTCCCTCATTATCCCAGGAAGCTGAAGGTCCAGCTGGCCCCCCCGAAAGCCCCTGTGCTTGTGGCAGTATCAGCCCCAGCGTCTAACAGGCCTCCAGGGCTGTGGCCCTGACTGTTGGATACCCAGTGGTCCCTTCCCTGGGCATAGAAAGGCCCCTGGCCCTTAAGGCTCCCTGATGCCCCCTCCTCAACCACCCGCAGCTGCAGATCCCATCGTGTCCTGATCCTACAGTGGGCAGAGATACTGGTCTCTGGCCCACCCCAGGAATCTCACCAAGTTCTAGAACATTTGCTCCCGCAGCCCCAAAGGGCGGCATTTCAGAGCACAGCTCCTCTGGGCAGGCGGGGCTGGCGACGTATCCCCATTATAGCCACGTCGATTGGGAAACACTTCTCAGGTCCCTCGTGACAGTGCCATCGTGCGCGCTTCTCCATCGAGGTAGAAAAGAAAAACAGAATAAGGAGGGATTTGGGGAGAGGTTGAATGAGAGGTGCAGAAGCACCTGGGGTTGGTGTGGTTAGAGCTGCCACTGGAAGGGGCCTGGTTAATCAGGACGTTTCTGTGAGAGGCCCTTGCATGTGGTCACAACAGGTCCTTAAATGAGCATTTCCCAAACTGGGTTCCCTAAGGTACTCTGTCAAAAAAGATTTTGGAGTCCAGTGAGTTGAAGAAACATTCCTTTTGATTCCCCGTGACTCCCTTAGAGCAGCCCGGGACTCAGACAAGTGCTATAGTAAAGGCCCCCCCCATTTCACTTAGCCTTTCTCGAACTCCTTTTGACCATAAAAT